CCAGTGTTTGGCACCACAGGTGGTCCAAGCATGCAGAATGCAGCCTCCAGGGTTTGCAGCCAGAGCTAGGAATCCCTGCACCACTGGCAAGTTTAAGGTCCAGTATAACCGTAGCACAAATTCTCTGATGGTCTCCGTGGAAATTTATTATCAGTCACTCAGCACTCAAAGAGATTCTCTTGGGCTCAAATATTAATGCATGGACTTGGTGGTCATTTACTTTGACCAGATTGGTTAGGGATTGTTCAGCCGACAGCATGAACAGCAGAACCCAGGTAGTGGGAAGAGGGGGACATGAAATGCTTTAAAAAAACTTAAAAAAAATTCCTTTGAGTAATTGGGCACAAGACTTTTTTTTTTTCCGAGAGTATGTTAAAGATAAACTCCCTTTTTGAAAAATCTCCTATAATCAAGATACATGTTAGGATGTGTACAGTAAGAAGAGATCCTTGTGAGGGTCGCTATTTGCAGCCACATACTCAGGAGCTGAGGGAACTGTTGGATGTATCAGTCATTGAGAAAAAATAAAGACAGAAAAACCTGATTTATCTCTGTAGGATAAGAAAGGCTGCGGAGAGTTGAAAAAATTAGCTCAACTTCAATATAACTGAGCAACTATGAGAACATGGCACTGAACTTACCTGAATGTTCCTGAAGCTTCAGGAACATTCCACTCTGGACTTTCCTGAATAATCACAATTCCTGTCAGGTGTCCTACACAAGACTGAAACACTCTAGACATTTCATATTTTGGCATCCAAACCATAGCTTCTATACTCTTTCCCCAAAATTGGATACAAAAAAGGGAATGAGCAGGAAGCACTTGGCATATTTGACTTTATTCAATCTTTCCGGCATTACGTGACATAGGAGTTACTACTCCCTTATTATAGGGATACGTAAGCCACTTTTCCTGATGGTCTTCCTAAAGTGCCTTAGTCATATCACAGAAAATTGAAGAGGTGATATTCACATTCAGAAGGATTCTCCAATAGATGGATGGATGAACGGATGGATCGATGGGTAGTGGGTTGATGGGTTGTAAAATTAAATTATTTGCTTGAATTTGGGTCCCCGTATCCTTCAACATGACATTTCTTGACTCCACCTGAAGAGGGAAAAAAATGTTCAAGGTGTGTTCACAACAAATCTTGGAAGTCCATATAATCTTTAGAAATGTATTGACTGTCAAATTTATAGCCAGACTGGCCAGCTTTATGAAGGAGAGAGGGTGACGATATAGATATTAGAATGAAAGTATTTATTTCTGTGAGTTGCAAGTGACCATATAACTCACACGTAATTCTGAAGTCTGTATATTCTAGGAGATTCGTGCTGTATTGTATCATGGGGAATGGCTCATAATTCACGTGCTGGGCTTCTTTCGGTATGCCCAGCCTGAACATTTAGGCATAAAATTCCTTTTCTCTTTCAGAAATGGAAATGCAACTGTGATTTTCTGGCAGCAGATTTATGTCTTGGAAAACTGTTTTAAGAAATGTGTGGATACATGGCTCTGTTTGACAAATGACAATAGTGACAGGCAGGCACTGATGTTGCCCTACCACACCCACCACATCCTTTGTTTCCCCCAGAGTCCAACAACCACCCAGTAACACATCAGAGCCTCAAAATTACACTAAAAACGACATATATCGATGCATCTAAAAATGCAGAAGCGAATACTTAAAGAAAATGACTACAGGATATAGAGTAGCCAAAAGATAAAAGAAAAATCCTTCCAAAGCCTACTACTGAAATGAATTGTCTTCACTAAGATGAGAAATATATTTTATATCTATATGGTAGGAGCTGCATAAACCCTGTTCTAGCACATTATCCATGAGGTAGCTCAGTTCAAGGCTTTCCCCACCTGGCTGGAACGCTCAAGGATGACCATGGGAGCATCCTCACCTTACCAGGCACAGGGCTCTGGGTGAATGGACAGGTGTTCTGATGGAGTGAGGCAGGGAGTCCACATGGGACAGTCAGACCAGGACTGAGCATGATCCCTGGCCCTCCTGGGTGCTGTTTCTGCTTGGCTGTGAGCTGAGGCAACTTGGAGGAAGATCTCAATAACATCCTTCCCATATTTTAACGGCACTCCATCCTATAAACACGTCATTTATTTTAATCATGCACTTTTATCCATTTTACTTACTTTTTTGTAATGCCACATGCATTTACATTTGAAAATCATCTGTGAAATGAATTGGGGTGTTTCAAATATATATTAATGCTAGTGTCAGCTAAAATGACCAGCCTCTTAGGAACTACAAAATGATTGTCCTGGGGCACCTGGGTGGTTCCGTTGGCTAAGCATCTGAAATTCTTGGTTTCTGCTCAGGTGATGACCTCACAGTTGGTGAGTCTGAGCCCTGCATTGGGGTCCACGTTGTTAGTGCAGAGTTTGCTTTGAGATTCTCTGTCTCTCTCTGTTTCTCTGTCTCTGTCTCTGTCTCTCTCTTTGCCCTTCCCTCACTTAAGCTCTCTGTTTCTCTCTCTCTCTCTCTTTTTCTCTCTCAAAATAAATAAATAAACATTTTTAAAAAACGTTTAAAAATAAATAAATAAACAAACAAAAATAAAAATAAAAACTTGTCGGCCTCTAACTCTTTATTTCATGACATGTGGAAAGTCCAGTGCCCCTCCCCCCAAACGGATGTCTGCAAATTCTTAGGGTGCTGAACTACTCAAGTTCATATGCACCTCTGTGTTTATACTCTTCCTGAAGGTTTTTGTGTGTGCTTTCTCACCATGTTATCTGTGTGAATTCTTTTTTCATCTGGGTCTTGCTAGATAGTGGAATAAGGTCATAAAGAATTTAGCATTCCTCACTGCTCTGTAATACGGCATGGACCATTTTCGCTTTGTTACAAATATTTCTAATCATCCGAGTAGGCATGTAGACTTTATAATCATAGGAGAGAAAGAAAAATGGTTCAAAAAATCACTAGGTCCTCTCTTTCATATCTTTCTCTCTGATGTCCCTGACTTTATTCTGAGATGGGCAGTGACACCTGTTTGGATTCCTCTTTTCCCTTTCTGTCTCTCAGAGTAGAGTTCATTTTACACGTCTTCTTCATTTCTAAATCTTAGAACCTCCTTTAAAAGTGTCCTCTTTCTAGAACATGGACCCCAGACAACAAGACCAGAGCAATAGCCATCCCTCCTCTTGAAGAATGTAGGGTTTGGAGACGAGAAGGAAATGGATTAAAATCATGGGGAAAAAGTATGGTTTTTAGCAAAGTGTTTAACCACATTTAATTATCTCTTTTTTTACTCTGTAAAATGAAGCTAGTCATATGGTATAATAATATATAAATTAAAGGTCCTGTAATATTTTGACACTTAGATCAAAATTCCATTTTTTAAGCTTATTTATTAATCAATAATAAATTATTACTTATTATAGAGAGAGAGGGAGAGAGAGAATCCCAAGCAGGTTCCATGCCATCAGCACAGAGCCCGATGCACGGCTCAAACTCATGAACCGTGAGATCATGATCTGAACCAAAACCAAGAGTCAGATACTTAACAGACTGAACCACCCAGGCACCCAACATTTAGGTACTCTAAGAATCTTGGCACTACAGAAAAAGGAATGCTTGACTTCCCTACAGCTTTTCTTTTAATTCTGTGACCTTAAGCAAATCACATAGGTTTCCTTAAGTCTTGGCCTCCTTCCCTGTCAAATAAGGATAAGAAAACCACTGTGGACATTCATGGATATGCATAGATGTCAGTGAAGTGTCCAATCCTTAAATATTCAGGTGAAATTTGCTTGAACTCCATGTCAGGCACTACAGTACATCCATGCACGTGTGATTCAGACTTTCTGTGATTTCCGTGGGATGCAGTGAGGACAGGCAGACAAATACTTTCCTTCCTTCTTAAAACTCAATTAAATTTAATGAGTTCTGCCAACCCATGTCTTATGCTGACATGTTGACACATTCCACCCAGTAACACCCAGTCCTGTTCTTTTGAGCTCCCCAACAAATTCTTTTTTTTTTTTTAATTTTTTTTTCAACGTTTATTTATTTTTGGGACAGAGAGAGACAGAGCATGAACGGGCGAGGGGCAGAGAGAGAGGGAGACACAGAATCGGAAACAGGCTCCAGGCTCTGAGCCATCAGCCCAGAGCCCGACGCGGGGCTCGAACTCACGGACCGCGAGATCGTGACCTGGCTGAAGTCGGACGCTTAACCGACTGCGCCACCCAGGCGCCCCAACAAATTCTAACTCAGCAAGGTGAGTGGATGCATGCTGACTTTATTGAGTTTGGGAGCAGGCCGGAAGGATTGCCAAGAACAGTGTACTGTCTGTTTAAAGGCGCTTGGCCTATTTTCAGTACCGCCCCCACCACTCTCCGAAAGCTTGTTTTTTCCTCTCTTTAATATGCCCCAGGATATCATGGACCACCTTATCTTAGGCTTGCCCCTCAGAGATCTGGTGGAAATTCCACATTTCCTTCCCTTTTCTCTGCCCCCTTGTCTCTTCCAAGGGAGGAGATAGTGATATCTATATCCACATTATTATGCCACCTCCCTTCAGGGCAGAAGCAACCACCATCTCTGGGTTTGAAATATCGTGTCCTTCCTTTTTCACATATAAAGCATCTTATACTGAGTTAGATCCTAAATGAGTATTGGAAGAGAGGGGGAAGGGGGACGATCATACACTGTGGATGGAGGGTATGGTCAGGGCAGAAGGAAAATCAGTAACAGGAGGGAAAAAAGCATAGAACTGATGTGACGGAAGATAGGTTCCCAGGCCAGGTGATCCTGTTACTAAACACTCCTGATACCTAATACCAAAATGTTCTTAATGCCGTGTATGAAAGCATAAGCTCTCAACTCTCTAAGCCTGGATAATGGCCCCATGCTCTTCCTACTGATGTAGAACCCTCCCTTGGCCTCCCTCCACACACCCCAGCACCTGTGAGTTGGGAGAACATCTCTCCTTCCTAGGTGGGAGCACAGATGTAGGAAGGCAATGATTTCAGAGGGTTTATTTTAGAAACAGAAAACAGCTTCCTAATGACACGCTGGCTGGAGGGGGGTTGCATCTCATTGGTTATGCTGGCAGATCACCCTCTGCTGATCTGTTTTGTCATTTTGTTGTCTGTTGAGGAGACAACAAAATGTTGGTGAGCAGCTGGTGGCAGAATTATGTTTTATGTACAAAATGTGGAAGAAAATTCTGGCCCAGTGCTGTAATTGCCTGATTGGATGGGGGCGGGAGAATGAGCTATGCATTTATCTGAATTAAATGTGCTTTCTCTCTTCAAGGTTCAGCACGCTCAACCAGGATGGGAATTAGTATGCGACACCCTTTGCGCATTTCAGATCGGATTCTGTAAAAAAAATATGGCTCAGAAATTTCTGGAAAATCAGAGTCAGCCAGGAGTCTAACAAGACTAGGACGATATGGTATCTCGGTTTATCTGCCAGGATTTAGGGGTCCTCAGAGAAATGACTCAAGACAGTCAACATGTTAGTAGGGAAGCAGGCACACAGAGGACTGGGGAGAATACCCAGCAACAGGACTTGGGGGAGAAATACAGTTAGGGAGGCAAAATCTAGTACAGAAGACACTTTAAACCCAGATCCTGATTCCTTTTGTAAAGCATATCTAACAGCCATGGCACACTAATTTCTGGGAACAATTACACAACTGTCTAGTACATCATATTATTTTACGATGTGTTTCTTAAGGGTTATAAGTGCTTGTTCCCTAAACTGTTTATGATGATTGTACTTCTATGTTGATTACATAATTTAATAAACTAGTATAAGTGAATGTAAAAAGGAAGCTGGTTTCTCTTTGAAAATTCAGTTGAAAACCTTATTAAAGATGGGTCACTAAAAATATTCATATCGAACGTGGTGTGAAGAAGCTAACCTGAAGGCTGCAGGGAAATCACAAACACGAAGCTCTATGCTCAGATTGACTTGTGGGTACGCGCAAGGCATCACTCCATGTGAAAGAAATGCGAATTCGAAGTTGGAAAGGACTCATTATGAGTGTGTTGTTTTCAAGGCAGAATAAATGGAACGCCAATCACAATGCTCATGTTCAAAGAAAAGAATATGACATTAAATGAAAAATTTGGCAAACACTCGTGTCATTAAAATGCTTATTGCATGCGTCTATGCGTGTGTGTGTGTCATTTTTATGACTTCCCTCCTTAGCCATATTTTTTATTAGTTTGTCAGTCTCAGGTCTGGACTGGAAGGGATCAGATGTCTTTAGCTTTGCTGGGAGTGTGTATGAAGTCATTCTGGATGGATTAGCGGACGTCAGAGGGACCAGCAGATGTCACATGGCACGGGAGGGTAGATGAAGGTGAGGGACATGTGGCTAGTCTGTAGAAGGGAGGGCTGTCGCCGTCACCAGGAAGCAGAATCAAAGTCTCTCGGGTAGGTCTGGGGCTAGGACTTCAGCCCATGTGAGTTGGAAGACTGGCTACAGAAGGCCATGGCTTAGCCCGAAGGATCTGGGGAGATGGGCTGGGCTGGATAATGGCAGCGAGACTTGGGGACAGAAAAAGCTAAGTAGCTGGACAAACACAGAAACACTGTGGACCTCATAGTTCAGCACAGCTGCCACACCACGCCCCTGCTGTGACGACTACTCTCTCTGATCCCCAGTTCCCTCATCTGTAAACTGTGGACAGTCATAACTGTTGTAAAGTAATTAGGAGGATTAAATGTGTGACATATTCAGACTACCTAATCCACGAATTATCATTAGCCGGAGAGTAAGCTTCTTCCTTCCTTTCTTCCGTCCATTCATTCCGAAATATTTACCTAATATCTCCTCTGTGCCAAGAGCTCTGCTAGCTGTAGAGGAGACCACAGTCAGAAACAGTGGTGGAATCCTATTCCCATGACACTTTCTGTTGAAAGGACAGACACTAATGTAGGAATATAATGTAATAACAGTGATATGCGCTATGAAATGAAGTGGAGGAAAGAAAGGGAAGACTTTCATGGTGGTATAAAGAAAGATGGGAGCGAAGGTGGTATTCATCCACACGCTCTCTATTTTTACTCTAACTGGGAGAAAAATGGCAAGGTGGCCGTGTAGCTATTGTGTAATTATTGATGATTCCTCAGCTGTCTGCAGCCCAAAACAGCAATGAGTCATGGCCAGTAAACTTCAGAGAGCTCTTAATTTTTAATTTTTAATGAAAATAGCTTTACTGGTTTTGCTCTAAGTACCATATATGGAGAACACTCAGAACAATGCAGCAAATTATGAAAAAGTAAAAAAATAATAAGAAAAAATAAAAATCACCATACATGTCAGCATTCAGATATAGTCACTGTTAACATGTTTTAGGCTGTGTTTCTGTTTGTTTGTTTTAGTGAACTTTCTGAAAGGAAAGCCTTAATGCATATCAATTCCCTTGTTAACAAGACAAATATTGGCACTCAACCAGCACTCTTAAATGCATGTAAATATATACAATACATATAATACATACGTAATACACACATCACAAACATATATACAAACACACATACAAATGTGTGTATGTGTATGTAAATGTGTATGTACATCACCCGAGAGATACGTATGTGTGAATGTGTGCATCCGGAGAGAGAAAGACAGAGAGAGAGACAGACAGGAGAGGGTGGGATAACTTTGTCGGTTGTGACTTCGAACGAGGCATTTAACCTACAGGGACCCTCATCGACTTGTTTGCAAAGTGAGTGTGTGGGGGCAGAAATGGCAGGGCTCACGCACAGTGTGTTCGCTCCCTGACATTTCCTGGCTCCCTAGCCTTTAGGGAAGGCCTCGCTTATGTGACTCGTTCCACAGTGACAGTGTGACAAGCAAGTGCAATTCCCCAGTGCTTCTCCTTCTCTACTGCGGGGACCAAGGTGGCAGACAGACCTGTGCTGAGACAGCAACCTCACCTGCCTGGTGCATGAGTAGAACACAGCCCTTTGCACTCTCTGATGGGCAAAACGCATGAGCAGGGAGAAACACAACAAAACAAACGCCGACACTTTTGTTGCATGAAGGCACAGGGTGTTTCAGTCGCTACAGGGTAACCAAACTGCCAGACCAAAACCGCCGGAGAAAACACGTGGCTGCCAGTCTGAGAGCTAAACAAGACCAGGTGAGGCCTGTGATAGAAGCTCAGTCATTACGGGTTGAGTCTGAACGACAGGGGCTAATGGAGAGGAAATTAGTCATACTACAAATACCTTTTTTTTTTCCCTTGAGAGACAGAGACAGAGAACCCCAAGCAGGCTCCGTGAGGCCAGCGTGGAGCCCGACGCGAGACTCGAACTCACAGACCACGAGATCATGACCGCCAAAACCAAGTCAGAGGCTTAACTGCCTGAGCCACCCAGACGCCCCCTTTGCTGTGACTTTTGAGAGGAACATGCATAGAACGCTGGTAAGAGATTTCTGATTCCCTCCAAGTTGTCTATTTTCTCCAGACCTGAGTTAAGGTTTCTCTACGCTTGTTCCACTTGGCCAAGAATCCCTCTAAGACCCCTGAGCAGCCATGACCCACTAAAAGTTCTGCATCACTACCGTCTTCTGCCTCTGGGCCCCACCACCCAGGCCTCCTGGGCTCCTCTTTCCACCGCCCGCCATGCACTTCCAGGTGGTTACACTTGCTGGTCCTCATTGTCATGGGTCTCCACTCAGAAACACCTCCCAAGTATAGAAGTCCTTGAACTTGTGATCTAGTGCTGCCCCCAAGCCTCACATTGTCCACCCACCTTCTGTCACAAACCCCTCTTTCATATTTTTGTAATTCTTGTCAATGCCAAAACTTAATATATTCATGTATCTGTTTATTTACTGCCTGCACCCCACCCTCCACTAGTACGTTCCATGAGAACATAGACTTTGCCGTCTTGGAACAATGCCTGGAACATTGTGTTCAGTAATATCTGTTGAATAAATGCATGGGCACTTGCTATGCGCCAGATTCTCTGCTAGACGCCCTAGGAACTACATATTAGAATAAAATAAAGTAGGAAGAGAGGAGTACAAATTAAAGGCAATGGCAATTTTCTGTAAAACTACCAATAGACGGAGCAGTTACTAAACTGCTTACTAAATTAGAGGCAGCAGGGAACTTTTCCTAGAGGTGAGATTATTTAATCTCAATTGTGGAGAATGAATAAGATTCTGAATGGTGAGCTGTCAAGAGTGGGAGGGGAGAAGATAAACTCGACCACTTGCCAGCCGAAGGGTGGGATCAAGACTGAAGCAAGGACAATCCAGGGCTGATTTCACCAACAGTGAAGTGGCCTCTGTGGCCAGCCCTTGACTGGTTGCAAGGAGAGAAAACTTCCCATGGAAGACAGTGCCCAATGGTGAGGAAGCCTTGAAGGATTCACTATTGGGTGGACCTGATTCTCTTCATCATGGAAGGTCATTCAATGTTTATAAGCAGGTATAATAGTTTCCCAGAGCTACTGTACCAAAGTGCCACAGACTGGGTGAGTATCCTGAGACAACTGAAATTTATTGTTGCACAGTTTCAGAGGCTGGAAGTCTGACATGAAGGGGTCAGCAGGGCTCTGCTCCCCATTAAAGTGGAAGGGAATCCTTCCTTGCCTCTTCCTAGCTCCTGGCGGTGTGCTGGCAATCATTGATGTTCTTCGGCTTCTAGATGCATCCCTCCAATCTTCCATCTTCACATGGCCTTTCCTGGTGCCTTTGTCTCTTTTCACAGCATTGTATTATTATGTTTTTAATAAGGAAATCAGTCATACTGGGTTAGGGGCCCACATGAGTATGACCTCATGTTAGCCAATTTCATTTGCAGTTACTCTAGTCCAAACAAAGTCACATTCTAAGATACTGGGGACTAGACTTCAGCATGCCTTTTTTTTTTTTTTTAATTTTATTTATTTATTTTGAGAGACACAGAGATGGTATGAGCAGAGGAGAGGCAGAGAAAGAGGGAGAGAGAAAATCTGAAGCAGGCTCCTGGCTGCTAGTGCAAAGCCCAATACAGGGCTTGAACTCATGAAACTGTGAGATCATGACCTGAGCTGAAACCTCTCTTGGTCCAATTCTTATTGGACCCTTAACCGACTGAGCCACCCAGGCACCCCAGCATGTCTTTGGTGAGGGACACAATTTAACTCATAACACCATGGACTTGTGTTTGAGAAGTCATTCAGTTAATGGTTGATCAATGCTTTTCAGCTGGGACATTGTTTTGGTTTTGGTTTTGGTTTTGTCTTCTATTACCCTTTTCCCTGAAACACTGGCCCTTCCTCAGTCTCAAAACTGCCAGCCCTCGGCCTGGAACCATGCTATCATGTCTCCGGATTGCCAGTTGCAAGACGTCTGATTGTCACTTGTCAGCTTCCACAATGACATGAGTCAATTCTCTAATTCTTTACTTAAGTGTATATAATATATTATTATAATGCATATTTTAAATTTATACATATATAATTTATATTTACACATAATATATATTTATAATAATATATTATCATGACGTAATAATAAATATATTATAATAAAATAATATAATATGTAATATTACATGAGCCAATTCTCCAGTTCTTTCTTTATAGAAAAATGACCCTTGTCAGTTGACCCTTGAACAACACATGGTTGAGCTCCATGGTCAACTTACCACTTACATGGTCCACTTACATACAGTTTTTTAAAATAAGGATAGTACGGGGTGCCTGGGTGGCTCAGTCGGTTAAGCATCCAACTTTGGTTCAGGTCATGATCTCACACTCCGTGAGTTTGAGCCCCACGTCGGGCTCTGTGCTGACAGCTAGTAGCCTGGAGCTCGCTTCGGATTCTGTGTCTCCCTCTCTCTGACCCTCTCCCATTCATGCTCTGTCTCTCTCTGTCTCAAAAATAAATAAACATTAAAAAAGAAAATTTTAAATAAGGACAGTACATTTCTGTAAATGTATTTTCTTTTCCTTATGATTTTTAATACCATTTTTTCCTCTAGCTTACTTTATTGTAAGAATATGTTATATAATACATACAGCCTACAAAATGTATATTAATAG